ATATTAATTTTAGTTCTTTTTATAAATTATTTTTCCATTTTTATTATATTATTAATTATTTAAAAAATTATTAAACGTAATTTTTGTCTCTAATAAAGATATAAGTAAAAATTTATTAAATTTTAAAATAGAGTAAACAAAATTTAAACTTTTTTTTGGGTTTCGATGAAACCAGACACATCAGGAGGGGTGCTTCCCCCTTACTATTTTTTAATAAAAATTATGAATCTTGGTTGTAAAAAATTTTAAAATAAATTTTAGCCCCCCACTCAATGTTTTATTTTCGTGATAAAAGATATTAAAAGTGATTTATAAATAGGATAAGAAAAATAAAAATAAAATTAATCATTTCAATTAAGGACAATTTAGAAATTTTATGGGAAATTTTGAAGGAATAAAAAAGTTTAACTAATTTTCTTTTTTTTTTTATATTTATAAAAAAGTGATCCAACAAGATTAAATCTGAGTGAGATTATTACAATCAGCTAAATGCAAGGAAATATAAGAAGGGGGTGTGGAGAGTAGAGACCCGGCGAGATCCACGCCAAATATTCAAGCTTCAAGGCGAGCTTCGCAAATCGATCAGCCACTTCATTTCCCAGTCTCTCTCAATAAGACTTGCATGTGGGTGTGATAAATGTGGACCACCTTTGGCGAGACACACAGCCTCAAGAGCAGCACTCTCCACAAGAGTTCTTCGATGACCCAAATTCCAAGCTTCCTCCAGTAAAAAAAGTTTAACTAATTTTCTTAACGCACTGATTTGATAAAAAATGTCTTGTATATAAGAATAAAACGAGTTGAAACAGATGAGAATGGGATTAGGAGGAGGGAAGTATCCAAAAAGGGAAACTAACAATTGCAAACCTCATAAAAATATTAATGATAATTATAAATTATAAATTATTAAATTTTAATAGCAGATCATTTATCCTCAGTTGCAATAAATTAGGAGGAGCATTTTTTATTGATTGGTGTGAGATTCATGATACACTATTCTCGTAAATTTCCCAACAAACATTAAAAAGATTTTCAAGTATTTTTTGTTAGTTTTTCAATCAATTTATCTATAATTGAAAAATCACAAGTAGTTAACTTACAATTTACAATTGACTTTCATAATTTTTTAACTGACATTTCAAATGATTTCAAGTATATTTTATAAATTTTATAAGCATTTTATTTATATATCAATAACAAAAATTTATAAGTGATTGACTTGTAATTTACATAAAACTAACCTTTAAAATTTTTTAATTAGCATTGTAAATAATTTTAAATATATTTTATTAATTTTTAAATAATTTATTTATATATTGATAAAAAAATATTAATATTCATGACTGATTTTTATAAATTTCAATTGATATTATAAATAATTTTAAATATATTTTATTAATTTTTTATATTTTTTAATTATAAATAAGGACTATATTTTATTATTAAAATTTTAATAATTTAAATTTTATAATTATAATTAATGTTTTTAAAGGATCCTGGTTGTCATTTTCCTATCCAAAATGTGGGTGCATCTGTCGTCTTTTTTTTATTTTTTTTTTCACTGTCCAAGATTCACGATCTCACCCTCCGATCTCCGTCCCTCGTGGTGGCCCCCACGCTCCCTTCCGCCCTTTTCAGTCCCAAGATTCATGTCTCCCTTGGTTTTATTTCATTGGAAACAAATCATAACTTCCAATAATTTCCTTTTTAAATTATTATATGCACTTTAATATTATATTTTTTTAATTGTGTTTATGAGTTACTTTTAACTACCTTATACTAAAATCAGTGAAATAATTAAATTATTGATGCTATTTAAAAAAATAAATTTTTAAAATTAACCTTATTAAAAGTAAATGCATCATCTTTAAAATACTTTCTTTCATATAACTTTTTTATTTTCTACTAATTCAAAGTGGTGAAAGAACAAAATTAAAAGAAAATAATTAATAATTTATTTTTTTTCATGCACGGTGAATTAAAAAAATCATAAATTTTTTATAAAAAATAAGGAGTGTCAATTAAAAGTAAACCTCTCACTATATTTCCTCAAAAAATCCTCCAAATCAATACACAACGTGGTTTGACTGAAGAGTTATATTATGTCTAGCTTATAAATGATGGCCTTGCGAGTCATTTTATAAACATATCACTGATATTTCCAAATGATAAACAGAGATCAATTGCAATTCGTTCTTATTGGGGATGGGGTTCTGTCCCCACATCAATAAAAAATACTCTACCCATTAAAAAATATGATATATTTTTTAAGGAATGTACGGTTAAAAATATAAGACATTTAATTTTTTAAGATGTAATTATTATTTTTTAAAATATTTTTATTAAATGAATTATTTTATATTTATTTTAAAGAAAAACACTCTATTAAATAAAGATTAATATAAAAAATAGGATTAAATTAATTATTTTATTAAAAAGTAATACTTAATTAAAAATATTTTATATTTTTAAATGATGAGAGTACTCATGAATGAGTGCAAGTGGTTAAGATATTCTATTAGCCCGTTGGCAGTCGTGCTTGCGTGATTTTTTCCATTTAGTATTGGTGAACAATAATAAGGAGAATTATTATAGAGTGCCACAAAAACTGTCTAATTACTATAAAGTCCTATAATATGTACAAATAGTTGCTATGATTGTGATTGGACTCATCCTCATTGAGGGTATATAATTCAATTCCACGGTAATAAAAAGTGGGCACGAATAAGCGTAGATAAGTATGACATTTTACCAACTAAATATTTTCTCTAACTTCATTTATAAGTTACATTTTAAAATATTTATTTAATTATATTTATAAGTTATGGTATAATTTTTTAAATAATATTTAAAAAATATTTTTAAAATTATCTTTCACAAAAAAAATAACATAACATCATTTTTTAAAATTGTTATATAAAAACATATTTAAAATTTTATACACTTTTAGTCATTATACTTTTTTTATATTAATATTAATGATTTTGATAGAAATAATTTACAAAGAGGATTGGGTGAGTATCATCTTAGTTTGTTTTTTCTATTTGATATTAGTCCTAGAAAAAAGAAAGGAAATCAATATAGTTGAACCCAGCAATAAATTTTTTAAGCAGAGTTAAGGATTATAAAAGAGAAATGAAAAGTTTCAGCTAAGCTTGTTATTCTTATTTAAAGACGGGATGTCAAAATCTATATTAATTTGGCACGTCCGTGATTAAACAGTCACCCACACATGTATATATATTTCTGTCCAGAGAATTGATAAAAAAGATATTGAGAATTAATTAATATAATAATAGGGAGAGGGTGTGGGGGAAAAGAAAAAGGCAAAGCGATGACCGTATACGGAAGAGGACCATGCGGCTTGTCCCCACGATTTGATGCATCATCATCGACGTCATCCATGGCTCCACGCCTCTTCCCTCCCTCCGTCCTCTCTCATATTATTTAAACATTTTTGTTCGAACTCACTTCCACGAGATCATTACAAAATCACTCCACATTCTATTTAATTAGCCTTTTTCATCAAGAAAAATAATAGGATTGTGATTTTAAATTCCCAGCAGAGAAACAATCGCGTCACTCAATCTTGTATATTTAAAGTAGTGTCTGTTTCCGCGTCAAGAAGTACCCGAAACTTTATATTTTGAAAATAGAATAATTTTTTTAATTTGAATGAAATTAATTAAATGATGTCAATCTTCAACACATTTCATTCTAAAAACATCATACGATGAATACTAAATATGCATACAAGTGATTATTATATTATATTTCAATAAAAAAGAGTAGTGTGCTTTCATTTTCTTTTTTTTTGGGGGGGGGGGGGGGGGGGGGCGCTCAATGTTGGAGGGAGCTGTTAGAAAGAGGAGAAGCAGCATTTGCTAAGTTGTCACTCCCCGAAATGGCATTCCCACATATACAACCAACCTCTGCTTGCTCATTCGTCTCCGCCTCATTTACTACCCGCTCCCAATTTGTCTTCTATTTTTATTTTCTACACATAATAATTATATTCCATTCATGGCCATTTATACCCATTCAAACTCAAGACATCCATATTTAACACATCTCCTACCATTATCTTATCTCTGTTTATTTTCATAATTTAATTAAAAAAACATAGTTCAAATAATCAAACCCATGGCATAGTATATGCCAAATATATATATATAAAAGCCTACATGTCAACTAATCTTTTATGATAATTTTTCTGAGTCATTTTTTTAATTTTTGAAATCATTTTTTATAATTTTTAAGTCAATCAATTGTCAAAATTAACTATTTTTTTAATGGTATGGTGCTCAATGTAACATTTTTAAATGTTAAAACAAGATATTGTATTACATGTAGTTTTAGGATATCAAATAATTTCAAATAAATAGTTGAAGAGTAAAAATATCCCTCAATCTATCTTTTATTATGATTTTTCATTTTCAATGTAAATTACCTGAAGTTAAAATTTATAAATTTTTATGAAGTTTATCTTTTAAAGAAAAAGAAGAATATTTTAAATTTTATTAAAAAAATAATAAAATGACAAAACTTCACATAAATTCATAAATATCAACCTTAAAGATCTAAATCACCCCAGTTTAATCTTGTTCTCGTTCTGTCGGTGTTATCTTTAATAAATAGAAGGAGTTCATGCATTATAAGAGCATTAAAATTTATACATCAACTATAACATTTCAGTATGATATATCAAATATATAAGAAGATATTGAGTGCCCTTGTGGTACAGCGACACTAAACGCAATTCCATTAAAACATCTCTTAAATATCAGGTTGTAAGTTGACCACGCGTATTTATTGAACTGTTCATTGTGTTAAACATCTCTTAAACACATCCGTGTTTTTATTCAACAGAGCACGATGTGGTGAGCCGGACATGGAAAAATTTTTATGAATTGGATAATGGGGAAAGGTAAGTCTGAAACTGAAAATGGCACGGAGGGAAATATATGGGAAAGGGAAGGAGAAAGAGTTAAAGAAGGAGGTAGGTCCCTATCGGCAGGCCCGGTTTGTCTGCTGAGGAGAGGATATTGGCATGTTACTCCGCAACGTAGAGAGGTGTGCGGGTACTGTGTAATCATCTCCTGCGAGCCGCGGAGAGCTTCCTTGTCTGTTCCTTCTGCATTTGCTTGATCCTCTTCCCAGAATTTCTCTCCGCTACCCCATTCTCTTCTTCTTCTCCTTCCTCCTACTCCTCCCTGTTTTTGCTGTCTCTCTTTTTCCCTTCTTATTTTTTCAAATTTATTAACGGTTCTAACCCAAGAAAGGTACCATCTTTGTCAGAAACGATCCAAATTTCTGTTTTTTTTTCCCTTGCTTACCACAAAAATTCTTGACCCTCTCTTCACTCCTTTTTGAGAACTTAGCTGATTTGGTCCGTAAATATGCATCATCTGATGATCGTTTATGCGGTTACAGAACATTAAGGGGAAAAGTTAAAGTTGATTTTTAATCTCTTTCTTTCTTAACTTTTTTCCTTTCCGGAACCTCTTTTTCTAATGCAGGCATCAGAAGAAATATTCAAATGTAGTTTGTTAGGAACAATTTAAGTCATCAAAATCAAGAGTTCTGGGCATTTCAGGCTTTTTCCACATATATATCTATTTATTTTTCTTTTGGATCTGCACTGGGTTCGTCTTCATCGTAGGGGTTGAATTGAACTGGGGTGACTCTGATAAGAACCAACCCTGATCCCATGAGGAATTTTTGCTGGTCTAAACAAGTTCCGCTCAACCCGAAACTTGGCCGAAAGCTTTCGCTTGGCGAGTACAATGGAGCCGTGTCGTGGTCCAAGTATCTGGTCTCCTCTGGGGCTGCAATAAAGGAAGACGGAGAAGAGGATTGGAGCGCCGACTTGTCCAGGTTACTCATTGGCGCCAAATTTGCTATTGGCAGTCACAGTAGGATCTACAAAGGCGTCTACAAGAACACCGAAGTGGCAATTAAGATGATAAGCCTACCGGAGGAAGACGAACACTTGGCTTCTTTGCTTGAGAGGCAGTTTAATGCTGAGGTTGCCACGCTCTTTCGACTGCACCATCCAAATATCATCAAGGTAAGCACTGCTTCTTCAGCTTCCTCTGTAGTTGGAATCAGTTGTTTTGCTTGATAATGATATGAGACAGTTCTCTTGCTTTTGCACGGAATATACTGACTTCAATTCTCTTGTCTAAACTTGTGCATCTGCTTGGGACTGTAAAGTATCTTGACCAAAAAGGAAAGAAAATGGACCCTTTATCTGCAAAGACAATTGTGGATTTACTCCATTTGTTCCTCCTATTCCCTTAGCTGGTGCTTGCACAACCGATATTTTTGGTGCCAAATTGAACAGAGCTGAGATTCATCTTTGATTTATCTTATTGCTTCTTGCATATTCATAAATTGTGGTGAGGTAGGTCCCCAGTCTAGTCCTCATCCGTGTAGTTTTCACTGTTTAAACTAAATGAAATGGGAGTTTTGGTTGGTGATTTCATTTCTTGTTTTGAAATTCTGTTGTTTGCTGGAAGCAGTTGACGCTGAGACTTGAGAGTTATTTTTTCTTAGAAGAGAAGAGAAGGCTTCATGCTTAGATCTGAGAGAAACTGTAGATTTTCTAGCAGCTATTGACTTTTGTTTGTCCTGCAGCTTGTTGCCGCCTGCAAGAAATCTCCGGTCTTCTGCATAATTACTGAATATATGCCAGGGGGATCATTGAGAAGATACCTGCGTAACCAAAAGGCCTATTCACTCCCCCCCAAACTTGTTCTGAAATTAGCCCTAGACATTGCACGAGGCATGCAATATCTTCATTCTCAGGGGATACTTCATAGGGATCTCAAATCAGAAAACCTTCTTCTGGGAGGAGATATGCGTGTAAAAGTAGCGGACTTTGGACTCTCCTGCCAGGAATCTGAGAGCTGTACTGCAAGTGAATTTACTGGAACTTATCGTTGGATGGCACCTGAAATGTTGAAAGATAAGAATCATACCAAGAAAGCAGATGTCTACAGTTTTGGCATAGTTCTATGGGAGCTTTTGACATCATTGACACCATATGAGAACATGACCCCAGAGCAGGCAGCATTTGCAGCCTCCCAAAAGGTATTGTATCAAAATTCATATATCTAATGGCAAATTTTCTTATTTTGAAGACATAGAAGTGCTGCAATTTTTTCGACTCCTCAAATGATCAATCCACTTGCATGTTCACTTCTTAAGAACCATGCTAGCTGTGGCTTGATAATTAATTGGTGTTCTCAAATTGGGCGTTATGTCATCACATTTAATTGATTGCAATAAACTGTTGAACTAGTGGTTCTGGAATCTGGCTAGTGTAACAGGTACTATTGTTTTGAGAAAAATAGTCTCACTTGTTGCTGCTAAATCAGTTTTGGATTCAGTATAGAAGGGATCTTGAATTATCAAAGTTAACAACCATGATATCAAGGAATATTTGTTCATTTGTTAGTCTGAAAGAATTTTAGGGATAAGATGATCAGAAAAGGCTGAAATGTAATTTTATGGAGGTGGATGCATTACCTTCACCAGCACGTGGATTTGTTTGTGATAACGTTGCTTAGTTAAGCATTCAGCAAGATTGATATGCATTATGAATAGATGCTATTCTGTTTTGGCTGACATACAGATGATTCTTACAACTCATAATACAAGATTATTGACATCTGCTATGCTTGCCATCCAAATCAATGATTATTAATGTGCTCCCATTCTTGAATCCTTTTCTCTAACGCTGATACAGAACATCTGGAAAATGCATTGCATGTACAGTTGAATGAATCACTGATTAATTACGCAAACTTCATTTCATTCTGATTGTTTTCCAACCAATTGAATGTGTATGATGAAACTTAAGAAACAGGGTGCATGTCTTTTGCACTTCTGATATAATAAAAAGTTGGTGGGTTTTGTGCAGAATGTAAGGCCACCATTGCCACCTGAATGTCCTTTGGCATTTAGCTGTCTGGTCACCAGATGCTGGGCGGCCAATCACCATAAACGGCCACACTTCGATGAGATAGTTTCCATCTTGGAGGGCTATTCAGAATCGCTGAAGGAGGATCCAGAATTCTTCTCTCATTTCATACCACCGGCTCCTAATGCTAGTGTCTTTAAGGAATGCTTACCAGGGTGCATTTCTGGTCGTAAATCTGGATTGTGTCATGCTTAATCTCCTGAACGATAAATATGTTCAGTGAACAAGTACGAGCTGTCCATAATCCTCTTTTTTTAAGGTTTTGGAGATTCGTTTTTTCTCCTCCTGAAGTGAGAGAAGAAAAACAGCTGTATCCTTCCTCCATTATTGATGAGGTGATGGCTATGGCCGGTATTTCTAATACCTAAGAGTGTCCAACTTTTTTAAAATAATAATAATAAAAATGAGTGGGAGTCTGATTCTGTAAGTTTGAGCTAAATTGGCTACTGTTTCCACAAAAAAAAAAAAAAAATTTACTGAGTAGTCCAAGCGTTCAACCAAGAACTGAGTTGACCCGATTAGTTGCATGACTAGGATTTAAATCACTATCGTTTGACTTCTAATTAATTTTTCGAATTTATCGCCGAGGATGGTGGGTAATTGAATTATAGATATCCAATTAATATTTAAAGCAATATAGAAATGACAGTTTGGCCGAGTGGTCTAAGGCGCCAGATTTAGGCTCTGGTCCGAAAGGGCGTGGGTTCAAATCCCACAGCTGTCAATTTTCAGTTCTCCCCTAAATTTTGACTTAAGAGTTGGGGTTCCCTATACAATAGATGAGAATCAACATTCGGGGCTCCAATTTACCTTCGAAATCTTCGTCATTTGCACTCCGACTACCTCCTCCTCGAATCCAAGGCAACGTGGGTTTTCTTTATTCTGATGTTGGGCCGTTGGCAGTTCCCTTCTAAACGCAGCAAAGGCCTGAGTTTTGGGGCTGATGGGAGGGCTTGATATTTCTTTTTGGGCCAACAAGGGAAGGGCTTGAACTTAAGGCATGAGAATCCCGCATTTCCACTCCTCCTTTCTTCCTTTCTTGGGCTTTTCTAAATATCGGCCCTAATCACTGGCCCAACAAATGTTGCCCCTGACTTCACCTAGTCATCGTCAACAATTTTTACTTCACACTTTGTAAGACTATCACTTATTTATTTCATAAAATAAAACTATCTTTCGAGTGTATAAATTTGAATGCCTCTGATTTGTAAAATTTTATTTAGAGCCAGAATTTTCCCTTTCAATTTTGTTTGCTTAATATTTTATCTCATAAATTTACTTTGCATTTTGATTCATATTATTTGACTTTATTTGGCTCGTGTTGGATTAGTTAGAATGATTAGTGTTAATTACATAGCTGTTAATGACCCCAACATCTATATAAAAGGCATCACATTTTATCAGAGGTTGTGAAAGTTGTATCCGACCTTAGGGAAGTTAACATTATGATCAGCTCATTATTTCACTTCAATATTTGGGTTGGTTTAATACCCTTCAGGAAAGGTTATGTAGTTTCTTTATAAATCATCCAAGAAGGGCTTATTAATTTCATAATCGTTTGTTGAGTTGATTAATGAAATATTTTCATCATCATATTTGTTGTTAATATTCTTCTCTTCTTGATTTTCTTAACAGCTCAAATTTTAATTCTTTATTTTATTTCTCGTGTGTTCATTTGGGTTGCCAAAATTCCTTTTTTTTTTTTTGTTGGTAACATTCATTCTACTCTTACTTTGGAAAGGGAACTCATTTGCATAAAAAAGAAAAAACAGAAAAAAAGACAGGGAACTCATTATTTGTCTAACACTACCAACTTTAACGGCTTAATTAATAGGAAACAGTCCTATTTGCTTCTCGCTTCACTGGTGGGATAAAGTGGAATATAATAGCTGGTTGGAATAAGTTAAATAGGGTGAAAATGAAATTACGAGATGAAAGTGAAAATTCGTGGTAAAATTGAGGCGTCAAATTATAATAAAATGAAAATAAAAGAAGAAAATAAAAATGGGAATAAGTTGATGGACTAAATTTAAACCTAAAAAATTATTAAGACATTCAATTCAAATCAAAATAAAATAATGGGATAAATTGAAGCATTATTTCGGGGGCCTCACTATGGTCAAGGCTTATCTCTAGGTTTAATAAATGTTTACATATATATTTATAAATTAGTCACGTCCTCATATCAACAACAAAATTTAATTCAATAACCTAATAGTTTATAAACTAAATTCTTATTAATTGAATCAATTTTTATTGATCATTTTAATTTATTTTGTTGTTGCTCTACTTATTCTTTTAAGTTAACTTAATTTCAAATTAAAAACGAGAAGATGTTAAATAAAAATCGAAAGCAAACATTTTTTTGGTATAGTATTCAAAAATAAAATACTCAGGTGATAATCAAAAAATATTGTGACTCATAATTTATAAGGTTGTGAGTTCAAATTCTGTTGTCGACGTTAAAGACCTTATTAGTGGGCGATTTATAAGTATTTTTATAAACACTTTTTGTGCATTAGGGCATATCCTAGTCTTGATAAGTCCTAAGAAAATGTAAAATAGAGGAGAAAAAAGACTTATGACACTAGATATAATTATTTAAGGGGAGAGCTTACTATGAAATAAGCTGCATTTGTTGATAAATTGAATTTTTGAAATATTCAAACATATATTTAAAGTAAAAAAAATTAAAATAATCAAACAAATAGAAACATGAGATATCCCATTAATAGGTTTACTTATTGGCGTAGGGACATAATAATCAATTCACATAACCTAAGCTAGAAAGGCAAGCATATTTACCTTGACAGTTAACACAACCTTACAATCCACAATATTCCAATCACAAACTAGAGTGAGTAATTCAAGCGGGATCGATTTATTTAGACTGAACTTAAAGTATCATACCTTCTATAAAAAACTCATATAGTTGAGTATGACCTTAATACTTTTGGGCTTATTCGAGCTGATTTGAATGTTCGAAACTTTTTTAAAAATATTTTTTGAATCAATTTTGATTTTTAAATATTTCTATTAAGTATAAAATATTATTTTAACTTTTAAAGAATAGAATAAAAAATAATAACTTATCAACTTTATACTTATATAACTCTGTTATTATTTATTATATTATGTATAATTTATTTATGAATGTTTCATTTACTTAGAAAGTAATGTCTTAGTTGTTTAAATATAGCTCTTATCATGATCATATATAAATATTTTATACATTTTAATTAAAGTATATTATTTTAATTATGATCAAGTTGATATTAATTTAATCATGGTTAGATTAATAATTTAAAGTTATTGTTCTGAATAGTTCAAAGTTTTCAATAACTTTTAGGTAAACTATACTTTTTATTTTTAAAAATATAAAAAAATAGTCATTATTATATTATATAAAAAATTATTTAATTATGAGTAAAATACTATTTTTTTTAAATTTTTATATTACTTAACCCCTATGTTAAGGGATATTTATTCTAATTTATTCTTAATTTTTAATCAAGACTGGTGTAGACGATAACTAAATAACTATTCAAGAATATTGTTCTAGTTATTATGTTTATTTAGTAGTAGATGTGAGAAATCATACATGCTCAACATTTATTTTTAAAATTATTTTTAATTTAATTTTTATTTTAAAATTAATTATCATATTTTATAAAAAATATAAGATATATTCTTGGATATTCAAGTCTCAAATGATATATAGGAGTCAAAAATTTTTTTAAAAATTAAGTGGGTCTCAAAATATAAAAATTAATATTAAAATTTATTTTAAATATTATTTTGAGATTTTTTTATTGATTAAAAATAATAAAAAAATAAAATTATAAATATTTTAAAATTTTTTAAAAATAACTACAATAATGCACCCAAATATATGGTATTTTAATATAAAATAACATAAAACTTAAAGAATTGATTAATATTTTTTATATTTTAAAAGATTTTTTTTATTTTGGCCGGTCCGAATAGGCTCAAACATTAAAAAATATTATTTTTTGAGTCTGGCCTTAAATTTTTGAGGTGGGTTTGGGAGGGCCTATCGAGTTTGACTTAAATTAGTAGCTCTACCATGAATATTATCAACCTCAATATTACAAAAGTATAACTTCTCACTAGCCACAACACAAGTTACAATGAGCTTAATTCACCAAAGTAGTTAAATAGTTAACAAATCAATCACAAATTCAATAATAGTTATAATTTCAACACAATCTTAAGTGCGCAATATGTTCCAAGGTTGGCAATACATAAATGAAATACAATAGTTCTCTACATATATAAACTACGAGACATTACTGATATAATTACTAGTCATTGTCTCTAATTCTTTTCCTTTGCCACTTATCAAGTCTTTACTTGCAAAATGTTAAATATAGGGTGAAATAAATATCTCAGTAACTAGAGAACCATAACTTATAACACACGCAAGCACAAACATTTACATTATGTTTAGTTAAAGGGGATGAGAGGGAAAATGTTTACCCTTCCCCTTTACCAAACAAGGGGAGGAGAGGGACCCCTCCAACCAAACAAGGAGTTAAGGGCGTATAAAGCGACTACAATCATATATTATTGTGACATATTTAAGCATGAATAACCAATTAATTTTCTCCCTTATCTTCCTTTTATATCTCCCGATCAAGTTCATAGGCTACGATTCGTAATGGGACTTATTTGTATGACTAGACTAGCCTAAATTCTCTAATATTAGAAGGGTAACCTATTTAAAATCATTGCTCTCCTAACTTGGACTATAGACTTCCCTACTAATCAAAATCCCACAGGGTTTTAGATTTATAACTAGTAACTAAGAGTGAATATCATTGGCTAAGCCTGAATCCCACCAAACTCCTATATCAAATTAGGTGTTACAATTATCTAATATTAAAAGCTACCCAAGTGTTGTCCATGTTGTGTGGCCTTACAATACAACCACCTCCCAATTAGGGTAAAGCTCTCACCATTTCACTTTTATGATCATGCATGTCATCATGTTCACAATTATATGTTTCAACAATTATACTCAATTCCATCAATATTTTCATATTTATCAAATTCAATTTTCTTAGTTTTCAAATCATGCTTATAACTTCCAATATCACATGATATATCCAATTTATCCACAACTTTCAACAATTTAACTCATACCCACTTTATACATTTTTTAAAACACAAAAGGAGCATTATCATATGCATACATACATGCTTTTCATACTTCTTGAATTACCAAAAATACTAAAGCAAGCATGGGAGATAACTTAGGTGTTTGATTACTTTTATCCCTTAAGTCACTCAAAAGGGGCATTGATGGATTCTTGGCACAACAATATTTTCAATTGCTCCAAGAGCTTAAGAAAGTATAGTTTATAATTAAACAACTTAAAATTATTAACTCACTATTAAAACACAATTTTTCTAACTACCCATTCCACTCAAAAATTTCAAAATTCATTTTATTAGAAAACTTTGCTATCCAATAGTTTTATTATGTTCGTCAGACCCCAAAGAGTCTAACTAAATCCATGAACCACTTAATTACTCCACAATTCCTTCAATTTTGGGTTCCTTCATCTTGTTTAAAATTACAATTAAATTCAAACTAGAACCTCTAAAACGATTAAACCCCAATTCCAACCTATATAAACATAATTTGAGCATTACATTAGAATTTCAATTGTTAGAATATCTTTAACCATCTCAAAACTCTCACTTTATCACAAACCCTAACCTCAAATTCTCTAAGTCAAACATTTGAATAAATCTAAACTTATTAAACGCTTAATCTAACTATATTAACATATTTAAGCTAACTAGCTAGTTAAAACTAAAATCTTAATGTTTCACTGTCACAACTTCTAAAATAAAGTGAAAACAACTATTTAGAAAAATATATAGGAAATATAACTAGCCTTAAAAAACTTTAAATCATACTAGAAGTATTTAATAATAGAATCTAACCTTAAAAATTTCTATGACCAGGGACCATGAAGGAGAAGGAGAAGGAGAAGAAGAAGAAGGAGAAGAAGAAGAAGAATGAAATGGCAAAGTGAAGCGAATTGGCGAGCTTTAATATTTGGCAAGTCCCACATATTTGAACCTCGTCGTTCACCTTTTTTTTGGGAAAAATTCACTGAAGACCTTGGATTAGAGGTAATTAAAAAAAAAACTCTTAAATTTGTAAAATTATACTATAAGTTTAGGGTAATGAGCTAAAATTAAAATTTGCTAAAAAATGATAAGATTGCCCTTATTAAAAGAAAAAATAAAATTAACATGAAAAATGAACTATAAATATATAAAGCTATAAATAAGTAAAGTAATGCAATGAATAATAATATGAAGTGTTATGAATTATATACAGTAAGAATATGAACAAATTATGTTAATAAAGTTTTAAAAATTTAAGGATTTTTTTTATTATTATCTCTAGTCTAGGAGTCTTTAGTGAAATGTCCCCCATTTTTTTTTTTTAATAAATCAGCACACACCTCACCAAGCGGATATAATTCCGTTTCCTTTCTCTTTTTATTTTTTAATTTCTATATCTCTCTCTTTATTTCCAAAAACCCATTTATTATTTTTTCCTTTCTCTTCTCCTTTTCTTGAAATTCCATCCAATATATATATATATATATATTTAACAGGCTCTCCAAAAATATAAAGGATTAAATTAAGTCACATAATTTATATAATCTCACTTAATCTTATTAATTTTTTTCCTTTTTCTAAATATCATGACTTGGTACAATATTGATAAAATTTAACTCTTCTTGGATAAATTTTCTTTCCTCATATAATTATTTGATAAATTTTTGTTAGCATGAAATAATCACATTAAATTCAACAATATTAATAAATATTTACTACTTTTAATTTTATACTTCTTTTTCATAAAATAATAATTTGATGCTTTAAGAAATGATTATAATCCATTTATCTTGATCAGAATTTTTCTCAATTTCATATTCTATTTCATTAAATTATGATCCTATGTACCTTAATACCTTGAACAACATAAATCAAGTCGGTCAACATATCAATTTACTTAATATATCATATTCTAATGTTACTTCAACTAGAGGTGTAAAAACTGGGGTGTTACATTGCCAGGATTAGTAAAATCCACTGGAACCAAGTATCTAAACAAAATGCACCAGTAGTTTATTCCGTAAGGGTTAAAACACTTTCTATTTAAACTTTAAGAGTGACCAAAAGTCGATATCAGTGAATTTTATTCCTCGACGCGAGATATATCAAAATTATTTTAAAAAAAGTTATTCTCTGGTACCCATTCAAAATTATAAGGTATTTTTAATTGAATTATATTCATTAATAAGTTAATTAATTGTTCTTAAAATTATGCACTCTTTTCATATTTATCTTTATTTAATATGATATTTTAATTAAAAAACCTTATTAATCACACCTCCTAGTTAAGATTATTTTTGAAAAAACTCCATTAATTACACTTTGAAAGATTTAAAATGCCTTATACTACTCAGATCTTTATTATATAGTATCTTCTAAATTTCTTTTTTGTCCTTAATGTAAGGCACTTGATAGATATTGATTATATTTTTCAATATTACTCTTAATTACTCCCTTTGATCTAAATATAAGTATTTTTTCTCAAATTGGTTCATAATATATGTACACATTTTATCCCCTTATGTTTATTAACTAACTTAAATCCTTGTATAAAGTTTTCTCTCACTCATCATATATAAAGTGTATTGGTAATTGAGACTAAGGGTAAAAAATGCAAAAACAATATATATTTATTTATGAGAATGATAATTTTTTCTAAAAATTATTTATATTTTAGATTGGAGGGAGTGACGTTTAAGAATTCTATGATTAGCTTTAGCATCCCTTGCAAGGTGCATAGAATCTTCAACACAATCACAGCCAAAACTGTAGCTTCCATTCATTTCAAGCCCCCTCTTCATCCTCAAATCATAAAGCATGCGTACGTTCTAATGTGTACAGAGATTGGATAGATAATTTTTAACATCTCACCTTAAAAAATATCTTATATTTAAAGGGAAGGAATATGCTTTTTATTTTTACTTGTAACACTAACAAAGAAAAACAGTTACTCGTTTAATCGTTTTGCTGAGTAGTTAGGCTACAAATGTGTAATTTACGAGGTTACGAGAAACGGAAAGCAATAGAGTAACTAACTACTATTCGACTAATTATTAGAGTTGACCTGCATGATAGAACCCTCAGTGTGAGGACTAGTTTGTGTATTAAAAGAATACTGTTCACTTTATTCTCCTGGTGGTGTTGGGTTTTTTTTTCATTTTTAATAAAAAGTTACAGAAATACTATCACGAAAACATTGCTTGGAGAAACCTTGTAAGCCGAACCAGTTTTGAAGTTTGAATGATTTTTTGAACTAAAAATAGGTAAAAATTACATGTGAAGGAATGTAAAAAGTGAAATTCACGGAAGTATGCCATGGCCCTTTAATTATTTCCCCTCACGTGCCCCATCGCACCCTTCATCAAATGTCCCATCCCCCACGAATGTGCCCCATCGCACCTTGCCTCTTTTCTTCCCAATTTTTAATCTTTTATTTTTTTCTACTTTTAATCATTCAATTTTTAATCACATTACATCATACTCAAATCTTAATTATATATTTCTGCCAATTTTTTTAATAAGAACGTCAACATTATTTTTAGGAAAATAATAATTATGATTACATGTTTTGAATATTTGAATATTATTTATGGATTAGCATTAATTAATAATCCTAACAGATTGGTCTTTATGATCTTGTGTGGACCGTGATAGGTGAATTATACAAGTGAACCTAATGGATAGAGACTCAACCCATAACCTAGTAGCTGTCATTTATTCCTTATCTCTTAACTGATTGAGTTAGAGATAATGTGATATAATTATTTTAATTATATAATAAGGCAGTTATCAATTTGATCTATATAAGTTGATCAGTCAATAAAAGCAGACACATGACTAATTTTTTATTGCTCCATTATCTCCAAACTCTCTGAAGACTCTGAGAACCTGTGTGTTGTGCACTTATCTACACTCGAGTTAATCGAGATTTCTCAAGTGCTCATGGATTCTTCAGGTACGCATATATTCTTTACTTTTCTTGTTTATATGAATTGAGATACTAAATTCTCAGATTGAATTATTGAAATATCAATAACAGATCATGATCCTTATTTGCAATAAAATATCTTTTATTGATTAGCTTGAAATTTAAAATTTATTTTTATAAATTTCCAACTAATGCTACGAGTACTCTTAATTATCTTTTGTTGATTTTTCAAATAATTTATTTATATATTGACAGCAAAAAATATAAGTGATTGGCTTGTAATTCATAACCTATTCTTGTGAATTTTCAACTAATAATACAAATAATCTCAAATGTGTTAATTTTTTAAATGGTTTCTTTGTATATTGACAATAAAAAATTGAGATTGATAATTAATGCTCATAAATTTCCATCTGACGTTACAAATAATTTTAAATATATTTAGTTGATTTTTTAATTAATTATTCATATTTTTTAATTGTAAGTAAGAATCATAGTTTGTTATTTAAATTTAAATAATTTAAAATCTGTAATTATAATTAATATTTTTATTGGGTCTTTAATTATCATTTTCCCTTATTTTGACTCGATATGTTAATTAATAAAAATATAAACAACTATTTAAGACTAGCTCAAATATTAAAAAGTGAGATAGAACATGAGTAGATGTTAAAATTTAAATTAAAAATTCAAATTCAAATGTTGTAAAATGTAAATATATACAAAGTATAATATAAACAGAATTATGCAGGTAAACATACTCGACTGAAAGTAACACTCAAGACGAGGGACCATACTTTAACATATGTCCACTAAAATTGTATCCATATCAGTAACGCTATCACAATTATTGCTGAATAAATTTAAATATGTCCCCATTACTGAACAATATACTAATGCATTATGAATAAATTTAATTATTGAATATATTATTTATATTCATCATTTATTTATTTTTATAACTATATTATGTAGATTCAATTTATATGATAAAAAAATGGACTCAAAAAGTGTATAACAACGTGACCGTCTGTCTCTGTCATGGACGTTTTTGGTCATGCCAAAGAATCTAACCAGTAGCCACAGATAAAATAGTCTGCAGAAGTGAAGCACGAATGGTGAAAGCGTCCTCATTTGTCTTTACATATTTGCCGGTGGCATAATTGTCCTTGGACAAACATTTGCCACGTGGCTGGTTGAAAGCGTGTTAACAAGGACCAAATTCAGACAGGATGAACATCGGCAGTTGCAGTAGTCCCGCTCCATTAGGCGCGACGTCGCCGTCCTCTCTGACATTCCAACTCTGTAAAACTTTCTCTTATTTCATTATTTCCAACCCTTAATTTCACGCTCATCCATTGTCAATTCCCCGTTTTGCCCCCATCCTTTTCCTGAAACCCGATGTCCTTAGTCCTCTGTTTCATTCATCATCTCACCCGAATGAAGGGTGAAATTTTTCTTTCTCTGACTCTTTTCTATATATACACTTCTTTCGTGTCTCTCCGACAACGGGAGTTCTCATCTTCGTGGTCCGTTAGTAATTATCAAGGTATGGCTTCCTGTATCTTCGCTTTTGCGATTCCCCTGTTCTCGTCCATTTCTTTATCTTCTCTCATCCATCCAAAAGGAAAACACAAAGGAAACAAACCCTTTATTTCTTTTAACTCTTCCTATATTTGCTTTCTATTTTATCATCTTTAGAGTTCTGGAACGATTTCTTTTTAGGAAACAATTCTTTTCCCTCTCTATGGGTCTGTGCTCCGTGTCAACGAGCTAAGGTTCGTTATGTATACATCAATTTCTGTTTCTCTGAATTCTTCTTGTTTATATTTAAACTCATCCCGGGAGATCCTATGGGTTTCTTCTGATTATCTTGGATAGGAGGGTAATAGAAAAGGCAAAATAGGGAAAGGTTTGACTTTTTCAATCATGCTTTTTGGCTCGAGTTTTTCATGCTTGTACTTCGAATGATCTTGACCTTGCATACATGATGCCTTAACAAAGCTTTTTCGACTAACCACAATGCAAAACACATAAATTTATTCGGACATCTATCTTTTGATAATGCATGCTTCTCTTTGTTTTTCTGATCTCTGTTGGTTGGATCTGTTGTGATCAGTGTTTTTAATTATTGTAGATTATCTGCTTGATATTGGTTGTCCAGGTCTGGTGACTTTGGTTCCCAAAGGAATTAGAGATGCCGGGAATATCTGATAATGGAGTTAATGATGAGGGGGAAGCAAATGAAAGGAACATAAATCCTCCCCCCTCTAAGGAAACATCAACTCTAATTGAGTCACAACATCCTGAGGGTACAGGTGTTGAAGCTTCCGTTGACACCTCTATTGATCAGCTTTATGAAAATGTGTATGACATGCAAAGTTCTGATCGGTCACCTTCAAGGCGAAGTTTTGGATCTGATGGTGATGAGTCTAGGATTGATTCGGAATTGCATCATCTAGTTGGAGGGCCGATGAGGGAGGTGGAGATAATGGAAGAAGAAATGGAGGAAAAGCAAGGTGGTGATGGAAGTAGTGAAGCATCTTCTAGAAAGGGTGGTACGTTGAATGATAGGAAGATGGATAGTGTGGATACGATTCAACCTGCAAGTACAAGTTCTGGCACCTCTGAAAAACCAACCAAATCATCCAATGCAAAATTACAGTCCAAGACAGCGTTAAAATCAAAACCCAAAGTCAAAAGTCCTCCTGTAAAGCCTTCTTTTGAGAAAAAGAATGATAAGCCTCAGAAAAAACAAAGCGCAGGAGTTGTTAGCTCCAAGAAACCACAAAATGCTCCTTCTGGAAGGTCAGTGTCTCTGAGTCGTGCCAAGAATTCAGTTGAACCAGCATCAGATAAGCCAGAGATGGGACCAATTTTGCTTAAGCAGGCGGCAGATCTGATGTCATCAGGGGATAATCCACATAAGGCTCTTAAATTGGCTCTTCGAGCTATGAAAGTGTTTGAGAAGTATGCTGGCGAGAAACCAAGTCTGGAGCTTGTTATGAGTTTACATGTTGCAGCAGCAATATACTGTAGCTTGGGTCAATACAATGATGCGATTCCTGTTCTTGAGCGCTCAATTGAAATTCCTGTTATTGAGGAAGGTGAGGAGCATGCCCTAGGTAAATTTGCTGGTCTTATGCAAGTGGGTGACACCTACGCAATGCTGGGCCAGCTTGAGAATGCAATTACGTACTACACCAAAGGTTTGGAAGTCCAGAAACAGATTTTGGGAGAAACAGATCAGAGAGTTGGTGAAACTTGTCGGTACCTGGCTGAAGCTCATGTTCAATCATTGCAATTTGATGAGGCTGAGAGGCTCTGCCAAATGGCTTTGGACATTCATAGAGCAAGAGATTCACCCCCTTCTGTTGAAGAGGCAGCAGATAGGAGGCTTATGGGCCTTATATGTGAAACAAAGGGAAAGCATGAAGCAGCTCTGGAGCATCTTGTTTTAGCGAGCATGGCAATGGTAGCGAATGGACAAGACGCGGAAGTGGCATCTGTTGATTGTGGCATTGGAGACACGTATCTATCCTTGTCTCGATATGATGAAGCTGCTTTTGCTTATCAAAAAGCACTTACAGCTTTCAAGGCCAGCAAGGGAGAGAATCATCCGGCTGTGGCTTTGGTTTTTGTACGTTTAGCTGACTTGTATAAGAGGACAGGGAAAGTAAAGGAATCCAAATCTTACTGTGAGAGTGCACTTAAAATCTATGAGAAGCCTCTTCCTGGGGTCCTTCTCGAGGAAATTGCAAGTGGTCTCACTGATGTTGCCGCTATCTATGAGTCGATGAATGAGCATGAACAGGCGCTCAATTTACTGAAAAAGGCATTGAGTATATACAACGATGCCCCTGGTCAGCAAAGCACAATAGCAGGAATTGAAGCTCAGATGGGAGTCTTGTACTACATCGTGGAGGACTATAATGAATCTTACAATGCGTTCAAGAATGCTATCTCAAAGCTTCGTGCTATTGGAGAGAAGAAATCAGCCTTCTTTGGTGTTGCACTTAATCAAATGGGACTTTCCTGCGTGCAGCGTTATGCCTTAAGTGAGGCTGCAGAATTGTTTGAAGAGGCAAAGAATATTTTGGAACAAGAGTATGGACCGTATCACCCTGAAACACTTGGCGTATATAGCAATCTTGCAGGCACATATGATGCACTTGGAAGGTATTCACGTTTTTATTCTTTTTCTTGGTATAACATACCCTCTTCTGCCAGTAAAATGCCCTTCATCATTTAGGCATCTTTAGCCATTAGCACTTTGAGCTTTACTCATGTTTATGTTATCGAAGTGCAATTATTGCATGGTACTAGATCTCTTGTGATGCATTATGACTAATTTCATACTTGTATCATTTGAATTCTTTAGTCTATTGACGATTTTTACTGCTGAATCAATCTGAAAGATCAGGGATCACATTTTCTGATCCATCTTCTGTGACCTGTGTCACTAACGTTCCAGAGAAGAACATGTCCTACCAAATGACTGGTTTGAGGGATAATTAATGACACATTGTCGAATTCATTGGTCCTCTGTGATCTTTACTTCAGGTTGGATGATGCAATTGAAATTCTGGAGTACGTTGTTAGTTTAAGGGAGGAAAAACTGGGGACTGCAAATCCTGATGTTTATGATGAGAAGAGAAGGCTGAGTGAGTTGCTGAAGGAAGCGGGTAGAGTTCGGAGCAGAAAATCCATATCACTGGAGCGCCTTCTTGATTCAAACGTTTATGCTCTAAATAATTTTGTCATGAGGATGGCTAGCTAGCTAGGACACAGAGAAACATGAAGCCTTTACAAGAACTCTTAAGAAAGGAACAGAAGAATACAGGTTGTGCAGTGCAATTATTGAGGAAAAAATTAAATGATTGATGAGGGTAATGATTTGTACCATATTTTATTTAAAGATATATACTTGTATGATACGATGTAAATTATTCATGGCCTTCGGATATACTCAATGTTTGAACACTTTGCTGATATGTCAATATATTCTTACAGATTTCGTTACACAGCTAAAACCCGAAACTTTTTGTCAACATCTGATACATTTAGTTCTGCATTTTTTGAATAATAATTGGTCCATCCTGCTTTATGCGCACATTTTCTACGAGGTCTTGTTGATTGGGAAGGCATGACAGTGAGGCAGAGAGACATTTAAACACATTCGTCGTTAGCTGCGTTTTTGATGCATTGAATGTCGTATGAACCGGCATTTATAAAATCTGAGACAGCGTGACAGTGAAATTCAAGAAGATAATGAGAAATTCAGAATCAATGAGGACCGCCACCACCACAATGGCCCAAGCCTATGAAGACTAAAGTTGTGCATCTCTCAAAAGTCCAAGAAGATAGGCTTGGGCTCATGTCATGGCTTCATCCACACGTTCCAAATTTTGCTTTCCAGGAGGCTCTCTCATCAAGGTTTTGCATGTGAAATGAAAAAAGTCATCGAAATTATTTTTCACAGAAAGCATCTGGGAAAGAATCTTGTTAGCAATTTTCTTTTCCCAATAATGCAAGGACAAATCAATGAATCATCACAGATTCCGTAATTAACTGGCATTTCATTTAGTCGTAAGTAATGTCAATGACAATCTCTCTCTCTCTCATATCAACAATCTCATTTATTCTCTCTTTTCCAATTTCTCGCTCCGCTATTTTCAATTATTGTACCTTTTAGTTGCCAGATCGGATAATTGGTTCAATAAATCAAATAATTGAACTTTGATTCAATATATGATAAACAAATAAAAATTTAAGAAATAGTCAACACTATTTATAGTTTAATCAATAAAAGAAATTCCGATTTTTATACATAAAATTATAAATATATAAATAATTTAATCATAAAATTATAAATATATAAATAATTTCAAACATGTACTTTCAATACATCTTTTATTTTCTTATAACCAAAAGTTTAGGTGAGTGTGGAGTTCATCAATATCAAAGGATAACTCTGGACTTACAAAAATATTAAAAAAATATTTATATATTATTCACTTAACAATGGATTCAAGGTTCTCACATTAGCATAGGGAGATTCAAAATTATTAAATTGAGTTAATCCTTACCATAGATTTATTTTGTCGGTGAACGCATCCTTTGTTTTAAGTTAAGATGAGAGTGATAAACTAGAAGCTTACCATTAAAAAAAACTAGGAAAATGCTGAGGAATTGAAGATAGAGTTAGAGTTTGATACTTCACAGATAGAAAGGCAAGGCACACATTTATTTAGCAAGACCTGATAACATAGAGAGGAAGAGAGTAAAATGCGAGGAAATTAAAAAATTAAAGCACAAGACAAGAGGGAGGATGTAAATATGAAATAAGGAAGAGAGAAAAGCAAGCATGATGGTCATGGATGGGTCATCACTTGGAAGGTGCTAGAGGGCCAAAATCAGGGATCTCGAGCGGCGGACTGATAGGCGGAACTGGAACAATTGGCAGCGTAATGGCTTCTGTCATCTGAGCTTCGTACTTCCACAGCTTGAACTCTCCTTTCACGAAGTCATAGTACCCTCCGTACAGTCCCAGCTCCTTCTTCCTCATTCCTCTCTGCACATACGGATATGTCTGCAGGTTCACCAACGAGTTCTTCACCGATTCCTGCCATTCACAGTCATCTTCTTCCTTTAGTTTCATCCTCCACCTTCACACACTACACTTTTTACTTACTCATGGAATGAATGAACTCACCTTCTCACACATTTCGCATAGCTCGTCAAAGCTTGTATTGCCGGGATCGTGTTCGCTCTTCACCTTAAATTTTGCGGGCAAGCCGATTTTCACCCACTCATCTATGAAGTCACTGCACACAAACCCCCGCATTATAATCCAAGTCTTGCTGCTTAATTAGTGATTTTGCCAAATAATTAAAGCATCAGTCTTACAAGGGAGCAGAGTTATCCTCTGGATGTTCCATAAGCCTTTTGATTCCTCCACACCTGCTGTGCCCAATCACCAGAATGTTGGGTATCTGTCGAATCATAATTTCCCAATCTCAATCACATTTATAATGGGACTAGAACATTATAATAATATAGTAATGATATTGAGCTCTATCTTTACGAATAATAATCTGTATATATGCACCTTAAGTGCTGTGATGCCATACTCAAGGATTGCACCAACTCCGCTGTACCTCAGCTGCAGGTTCCCAAGTGCTTAATGTCAAAACTTCTTTCGCGCAGAGGAAATTAAACGATGAATCTTGATAATTTAAAATCGAACAGAGCTTAAGATCTATATATCTATATACAAAATGAATTAATAAAATTAAAGATGACCTGATCGAAAGGAGGGACCATGTTAGCAATGTTGCGGACCATGAAAGCTTCTCCTGGTTTGAAGTTTAGGATAACATCCGGACTCACTCGTGAGTCTGAGCAAGCAAACACCAGAAACTACCACCACACACAGACCACACGAAATCAGATTAAACATTAAAACGACAGAAAAACAAATGATAATTAGTGATAACATATATATATGAAGACAGAATCAGTGGTAAATCACCTGGGGGCTTTGGCCCTCGGCAAGTTTCTTGAACAGTTCTGGGTTCTTGCTGCCATTTAAGTATATGCACACAAACAAGTTAGCCAGAAGAGAAACTGTGCATGGTGAGATTTAAATATAGTGATTAACATAGGTTAATGTAATTTACTCGAATATGTTGAACTTGAAGTAGGTGAAGCCCATGATGATCCTCTGAACAGCTGGATCTATTGGATTCAGATGGATTCCCTGCAGCTCAGCTATTAGCTTGTCGATCTTCTCCACCGCCACATCCTCCAACTCTTCCTTTTCTCTGAAACACGCATATATACCTCATTATATTACCATCGTTACAAGCACGATCTGGCCATCAATGGTTGCAAGTTTAGCTAAGTAGTGTACTAGTGCGCATCTATTATTATCTATGTTTTCGAGTCCATGTTAAGCGCAGATTAATTAGGCAGAAGGTATACTGTTTATGTGTGTGGATGTGTGCTTATTTTACCTGACAACTTTCTTGAGCTCTTCGATGGCCAACTCGGAGGACAGCTTCTTAGCCATAGTTCCACCTGAATTCCAAAAAACCATAGATGATGAACTAATTAAAATGCACGGTAAAAACTAGAAATAAATTGGAAACAAAACTTATAGTAGAAAAATAAGGCTCAAGTTTCATCAATTTCGTAAAGTTGAAAGGTTTTTTGATCATGTGACACAGGGTTTTACTAACATCCAGAGTTTTTCTGGGGATAAGAGTAGATACCCTATGCAAATATAGCTAGAGCACGTACTGAGAGACACCAAATTAAGCTGATATATGAACTAAGTAGCTAGCTTTAACCTTGCACACATCTCAGTGCTTGCATGCATGTGGTATTTATAGCCAAAAATTATGACTTATTTTAATAAAAAAATTTAAATTTTGTAGCACAGTTTCCACGAGGATATATCAGGTTCACTTGTTGATGATTATGAAGATGAATACGTAAAGGTCACAAAGTACATGTCTTTTTCACGACCTTGTATTTTATTTGGACGAGTAAAAGACCACGAGACACCGAATAAAGGCACATGCATGGAATTAATGCAATTATTATGCGAAAACATTTGATCAAGTCACGTTCAAAATTAGACTCTAATTGGACGTACATGGGCAATTCATAATTCGAACGAAAAATATCTAACATAAGTCCATAAGTACCGGCCTGTAACTTTTGGCTTTGTCTCTGATTGTCTGATATGGAAGAAAATATCTCTTTGTTAATTTTTTTTATTTATTTCTGCTGGGGCATTCAGAGCGCATGGAGAAGACATGTCTGTGTGTGTGTATTATTTCTTATTTCTTTATCATTAATTTGGGTTTTTATCATTAATTTCTGTGAGTGTATATTATTTCTTATTTCTTTATCCAATTTTATTCATTCATTCATTTTTTTTATTCTCTCTTCTTTTCCCATAATTCACATTTTCCATTCCTAAACACTTTTCTGTTGACATGATTTATAAGATGGACAATAACTTTTTTCGTTGAATCAAGTCATCAATATAAATTATAAAATTAAAATTTTTAAAACTACATTATTTATAAGTAATAAACAGTACAACTCATTTTTTATATTCTAGTGTATAATACATGGGACTAATAGATAGTTTAATCTTAAAATAACTAGATTTTTAATTTTACCTCTCCTGCAATGAGGAAGCAAAAATTTAAAAGAAGAGGGGCAGACATCGCAATAAGCAAATTTTGGGGAAGTTACAAGTTTTGTGAGATAAAGCGTACTTTTGAATTTAGAATATATATCTCATCCATCGGGGTTTAGCAAAGACAAATGAGAAAAAAATTGGTGGAAATTAAATCAGGAATACAGAATATAACAGAAAAATGACTTTGATAATATGTTGTATTTAATTTGGAAACTAATTGATTATGAGTAGAGTTGTGTAAAAGTCTTCTAGTCCTATATGATTCAATTCAACCTGAGATGGTCTTAATCTTGTTCGGTCCATATAGATACTGATCCTTCAAGATCAAAAAGATTAAAAAGATCAGACTGTTTTTTCAAGTTGGACTGGACAAGCGACTAGGCATCCGGACTACTTGGTCTAGTCCAGTCCTATTAATTTTTTATTATAATTATAATTAATTTACTTTTTGACAAATGTTTGAAGTATAATTGATATTAAGGAGATGATTGTATGAAGATTTGTTGAGTTTGTTTCTAAATTATTGTTGTAATGTAATGTTGTTAAATTTTATTGAGTGCTATTTTTTGTTAAAGTTATAAATTTAAATTATTTGAACTATAATAGAAATATTTTTTTCTTATTGTTGGAAATTATTATGGATTTATGATTATTATAAGTTTTTTTACTATTTTAATTAAGTTTATTATGTTAAAATAGATTATTGCCTTTCATAGAATAAAAAAAAAGCTAAATGAGTACTAGATTGATAGGACCAATCTTATGGATTAAGTTCGATCCTGTTAATTTTTGGGTTATCATTGGACAAGGCCGGACTACAGGTTGCCTAACTCAATCCTTTTGATGAAAGAGGCCGGACTTTGGATTAGGACGAAGTCCAGTGCCGTCCTGTCTTTTGTGCAACCCTAATTATGAGTATGAAGCAAATGTTTGTGTTAAGATATTTGGTTTATAATTTTAAAAAGACCGTGTACGAGAGGGGGAACATGAATCATGAGGTGGAGTCTAATGAAGAATTTGATTAGAAACAACGTGGGGGGTTAATTAGAAACAACATTTGAGATGGAGATGAGGGGGGGAGTATGTAGATCTGTGAGCATTAGGTGATAAAGAGACAAACTTTTCGGTGACAAATGCTACAACCTTAACCCAATAATTGTGTCCTTTCTTCTCATTTTCCACCCCTCTATGATTCTATAATACACTAGACAAATATCCACAACGAATCCTTCATGCATATCTAGACCTGTGTGTGCATATAGCTTTTATTTTAATCCATCTCATCCTGGTTTGAATTGCGTGTTTAACTTTTTTTCTTTCTTTTTTGCTTGAATTACATGGCACTACAGTTAAACCAGTGCACGCAAAATATTGTTGAACTGAGTCAAATCAGATAATTAACAGAAGACTCACCGCATCGATCCTAAATTGAACACGCAGTCATTACACATCATACATTGTATGACTCACCATTAATTTACCTTAATTTTATACTTCTACTCATATTTTTATTATCTCTGAGCTCAAATTAGTCATTAATCTTATGAATAACAAAAGCGTATATCTCGGTGGATAATCCATCCAAATTCCAACATGTAAAAATGCCATTTTTCAAATCAACAATTTTCATATAAAAAAATAACTCGCAAAGGACCGAGAAGGCGAGAAGGTTCTCAATTTCTCATCCTGATATGGAGATAATCTTAAGAAAATAAAAAAATTTAAATGTCATTTCTTGTTATATAATGGTTTAAACGACCACCACTCATACCTTATCTCAATTTTACCACCTTAAAGTTAAACTAGCCTCATGTTTTTTATCGCAAGATATAAGCGTTAAAAAGCAGAGAGGGGCGGAGAGCCACGACGACGATCGATTCGGATATGGGGAAAGTTGCCGATGCTCCTACTCTCAACACGTGTTAAGTGGGTAAAAATTAGAAATCATGCACAGCCAAAACGTTTTAATTAACTTTGGGCATGAAGGCCAGTGGGCCTTTTGGAGCCCAAAGTCAGCATTTTTATTAATTACTCCATCGATTTTTATATATAAAAAAATTTTTAAAATTTTTTTAATCATAAATGTAAAATATTGTTAGTATTTTTTTAATAAATAAATAATTATATTTTTATTAAATTAAAAAAATAAATAATTTTATTAATTTACTTTAAAAAAAGAGATTCATTTTTTATTTAAAATAATTAGAGATAAAATTAAAATATTACTGTGCTTTTAATTAGATAATTAATTTTTATTAATTTGTGTGATTTAATTAAAAATATTTTATATATAGAGATGGAGTGAATAAATCAAATGCATTGAATTGTGAGTTGTAATCTTGATTTGAAGGATTGAGTGAATTGATAATGGTAGCCAACTAGTCATGAAACATGTTTTCGGAGGATTATATGGGTTTTGGTTACCAAACATGTACTTGTTTGGAAATTGAGTATGCAGGATTAATATATCATTCAAGTCTTGCAAAATAATAATATAATATAATATAATGTTGCAAAAGGGTCAGTATAATCATAATGGATGAATTCTACAATAATATGGTGGAAAATTACAACTCTTTCCTTGTCCATTTGCAATCATGCAGAAGAGCGATTCAAAATTCCCGGCTGCTATTAATTACTTGCCTATCTATGTTTGCTATACGGAGGAATCTCTTTCTGCCACTGTATGTAAATGAAAAGCCACAAATTATATCTAAATGAAATGCAGCTCACGCGAACAATATATATATATATATATATATATTTAATGTTTGAATTATCAGATTATCAACATCATCAATATAAATAGAATTTAATTTCTAACAAGTCATGATAATTATTTTTGAACCAGAAACAGTTCAAGTCATGCCTCCTATCGAACAAGTCTGCATATTATACATGGGACTCACATCTAGTTTCATTTTAAATCAAGCCAGGGTTTTTTGGGAAATGCCTATGTTTTTTGTGAGATAATGGTCATTAGCATCAGCTGCAGAGTTGCCTAATTTTAAATATGCAAATCTCATTCGAAGTATATAGATAGGTAGCGTGAAACTTAAATTAAAACATCTCTTATCTAAAGAGATATAGCTATATATGACAGAGAATTAATCTAAACATTTGCATCGAAACAAGTAATGCAGAATGAAACATATAGACTTTGGTAACATGTCCGATACTATGCATTGTGGAGATCATGATCATAGTTAATTTTGCTGTTTAGATATTTAATTACTTGAATAAGGAGGCCATAACAGTAACAGGGAGACAGAACACAAGCGAATTATGAGATGGAGTGTAATGGAGAATTTGATTGCAGCAGAAACAATATAATGTGGAGTTTATGGTTGAATGTGTAATAATAGTAACATTTAGTGGAGATGTGGGAGTATGTAGATCCGCGAGTGTTAGGTGAAAAAGGGGACAGACTTTTAGGTGACAAATAACGCTACAAAACTTAACCAAAGATAATGGTGTCCTTTCTTCTCTTTTTTCCACCCCTCCATGATAAAAGTGTACTAGACTAGATTTCCTGTTTAAATTTATCTCATCCTGCTTTCAATTGCATGTGCCTATGTAATTTTAAACATTTTATGTTTAATTTACACTTAAACACACATTACCCTAAATGCATGCCAAGAGGGTTCCATTACTCTCTACAAATATATATACTGATCAAATATACTTTTTGCTCAAAAGAAAAATACTGAATTAGTTAAGTTAATTAATTCACATAGATTAAAAAAATAGCTAGTTAAGTTGGTCATTTAATTTGTAAAAAAAAAATTTGTGTTAGTTTTTTTTTTAAAGATATCCCTCCTTCTGCAAGTAACATGCATAAATCTATAAGTAATACAACAATATGAGTATTGTGGGAAAAAAAGGTAATAAATAGTATATGTAATTAAAGGATTATGTTTAGGACTGAAATAAACTTTCAAACTAGTTCGTATATTTAAAACAAGGAATAATTGTTTTTATTGTGGAACTTATTACACTCTTGTCCATTGTTTGTTCTCCGTATCTCATCTCATTCTCACCCCTTCATTGAATATGGCAGTGTGGAAAGTCGCCGACTCTCCTTCCTCTCAACACGTGTCAATTTGGTGGAAGTGAGAATTGACCCAAAGTAATTAGTGGATTTTATACTGGGCTACAATTAAGTAAACTGGGCCCTTATCAAGCCCATAATTAATGGTATCTTCTCGGCCCGAAATAGTTTACGATGATTACTGGAATGCATTTCTGATTTTCTTAGGAATTGCAGCTCGTGCGATGTTCTTCCTTGGTCTTAGCAATTAGATTAACCATGAAACATTAGTTATGAATGTATTATTTTATTTTAAAAAAACACCTTGCCAAAAAAGATATTTACCCGCAATACGACCAAAGAAAGCTCTGACGATCGAAAACATTATTTAAGACAAGCACTTGAGTCACTTCTTAAGCTTCTCGCTCTCATGCTTTCGAATTAAGTTTATAGGCACGGGTTTAATACTTCAGTCTAATCGATCATTGGGTTGAAGATTTTATATTGGAGTTAGATTTTTGATCCCCCATTGATTTCCCCTTAAACTGCTTCCAAATATTATAGTAATTTATAGTGTCTCCAATTAATCACACGGCTTTACTTTAGTAATTTATAGCCTCAATTTGGCTTACCAGTGAGGGCTCTGAGTTCTTCTATTTAGCTTGAAGGATTGGACCTGTTATGGCATATTGAGACTTCAAATTAAGTAATATAAGCTGTTATAAACTTAAGGGGAGTGTTGGAATATATTATTATTTTAAAAAATTTATTGTGTTTGGATCTGTTATTTATTAAGATAAGATTTATACTACTGATATTTAAAGAATATTTTGTATTCATTGAATATTATTAAAATATTTATTAATTATTATTTGATTGATCTATATATTGTAAACTCTTCATATTAATAAAAAAGGATATTTTTTCAATCTTCTTTATTTTTCTCATTACATGGTAATAGAACTCATTAATGATAAGTATGAGGACCCGTTTGGATTTCAGTTGGGCATAATAGATTATGAAAATAATTGATTAAGTGGTATATTTTAATCATAATTGATTATGTTAGAACGCAATCTGTTTGGATGTTATTTTTCTAAAATTGATTTTAACAGTTTTGAATATCAATAATTTAATTTTAAAAAGTAATGTCCTTTATGATAATTTAAACAGCTAAAATTGATTTTAACAGTTTTGAATAATTTTTTTAAAATCAATTTTAGCTGTTTAAATTACCATAAAGGATATTACTTTTTAAAATTAAATTATTAATAAATTTATATTTAATAGTATTAAAGTTATTATATTTTATTTAAGAAGTAAAATATATTATTGGTTTTATTTTTATTAAGTTTTGGGATTTTTTTTATAATTTTTTCTGGATCTTTGTTTGTAATTTTTTCTAACACTTTTTGATGGATTATGGCAGACGCTCCATGAATCATCTTGTGAATGGATCAGTTTTTGAATATATGGTGTAAGAACGTTGTTGGGTCGAGAAAGTCCTTGCGCAATGTTGCCTTCTTTCTGCTCCTAAAGAAGGTCTGGGCATTGGATAAGGAATGCTTTGTCCCTATATGAAAGTTTACTTGTATGGTAGCTTTTTTTTATCATAAGTTGCATGTTTGTAAACTTCGTTCTGTCGTCATAGTGACGTGGGGGAGAGAGGTTCTTCACGTGACTATATGATTTTCCTAAAGAAAAAAACAAACTGACAAACAAACAAACTACAATATTCTGTTTTATTTGAATCTTTAATTTTTATTTTTATTTTGCAAAAACAATCATATTTATTTAATTTCTTGCTTGTTTATATATAAATTTGAATAAATTAAAGAGATTGAGTATTATATACTTTTTTAATTTAATTTATAAGTTATTTTTAATATATTTTATCAGAATAAAACAATCTTAAAATTTATTAACTCCATTTAAAAATTTAATAAAGCTTTCAACTTTATTTTTATTTAATACTCCTCAAGTTTTTTTTATAAACCATCTCTATCAACCTCATTAATATTAATGTTAAAAAAAATGAAAGGAATAAAAGTGTGTAAAATTTTAAAGATATCTCTATATAACAAATTTAAAAAAATGATACTATATTATCTTTTCTCTCTTATGAAAGATAATTTTAGAAATAGTTTTTAAATATTACTTAAAAATTCATATTATGACTTACAAATTTGATTTAATAAATTTTAAAAAATGTGCCTTATAAATAGAATTGGACGGAGTTTATATAATTTAATAATGTATTTTTTTTCATCAAAATTCAATGGATTAACAAGGAAAGCTTGCAATAAAAAAATCAATGACATCATTTATATGTAGAACTAAAAATATCTTTATCTTTTTACCTTATAAATAAAATGAGGGGGAATAAAATTTTTTTAATGGAAAAAAGCAAATACGATATAATACATTAATACTTGATATGTAGGTACAGTAATGGGACGCGTGCGTGTACATATAAATTAAAGGTTAAAATATACTTTTAGTATCTTAATTTTATATATAGTTTTACTTTGATACTTTAAATTTATAAAATATCTTTTTAATTTTTTAATCTTAATACCATTAGTTTTATCACAAAAAAATTTTGCATTAACTTTTTAAATATGACAAAATATTCTCAAATGTTAACATATTAAATTTATTTTTTTAAATAATAATGATTGATATAAAAAATAACAATTTGAAGTTAAAGGTGTTAAGGTTAAGGGACAATATGATACTTTATAAAATTAAGGGATTAAATTGAAATTATAAATAAACTTAGAGAACGAAAATGTATTTTAGCCTATAAATTAATGTAAAATATGAAATTTTTAATAAGTGATAATATTTATAGTATTAAATCACAGGAAATTAAAAGTCAAGAGAACCATGTGGGTCAATTTTATTCAATATTTTTTCAGGGGGATGCACAAACTACAAAGGACAGAGAGCACCCATTAAAACATTATTTGGAGACGAACAAAGCGTTAAAAGTCACTCGAAAGGCACACAAGTAGAAGTAAAACAGTAAATTAATTAATACATGAAGAGAGAAATGGCTGGATCGATCGGCATGGGGCTGCATTATATTAGATTAAATTGCAGGAATAAGAATGGGCTCAGTATTGGGACGAGAATCGAACTTCCAAAGCTTGAACTGTCCTTTCACAAAGTCATAGTATCCTCCCAACAACGCCAACGTGTTCCCCTTCACGTAGGGATATGTCATCAGATTATCCAACGACTTGTTCACCGATTCCTGCAAACGCCATATATATATATATATATATCGACGCCACACCCATCTTCTTGTTTAGCTACTTCATCTTCATAATAAATATACAGCTTTTGGTAAATGATGAAATTACTTACTTACTTACACACACACACACACTCACACTTAAATCTGACCTTTTCACAGTACTTGCACAAGTCTTCTGGAGGCGTAGTGGGATCATGTTCGCTCTTCACCTTGTTCTTGGCCGCCAAGCCAATTTTCAGCCACTCATCTATGAAATCACTGCACACACATATATACTCATTTTAATTCAAAACTTTATGTCACGTTTCGATTTGCTTCCTTCCATAATGATTTTGCCACATATATATAGTTTCAACGCTTTAGTTAGACTCACAAAGGATGAGAGCCATCCTCGGGATATTCCATGAGCCTTTTGATTCCCCCACACTTGCTGTGCCCAATCACCAGAATGTTTGGTATCTGTCAAATCATTTCTCATTGAGGACCAAAACAATGATTTAATAATATTGATGAGCTATAGCTGATGAGTTCTATGTTCATGAATAACTTTAGTATATACGTACCCCAAGTACTGTGATGCCATATTCTATAGCTGCACCAACTCCGTTGTCCCTAAACTGCAGTCCAATTGAACAACGTTAGAACTTTTTTTCTCGCCTGCAGGAAATTTTGATGAATAATCTTCCTAGTTCACTTTCTCCTATCCTATTTGAAGAGAGAGATTATCTTTTTTTTTTTTGCAGTTTATAAAGTCTAATCATTATATTTTTATAACAAATTTCTCAATTTACCTTTCATTAAATTGGTGAGAGAAAGTATATTATTAAAGTATATATATTTAATAAGGATAAGGTTAAAGACTTATTAAATTTTTAAATAAAATTAATAAATTTTAGGGCTTTTTATTTTAATAAAATATATTAAAAATAATTTATAAATAAAATTAGAGAAGTAATTCGATAGAGTTCCATATAAAGAGCATGAAATAATAAAAAGACGACCTGATAAGGAGGGACCATGTTAGCAATGTTGCGGACCATGAAAGCTTCTCCTGGTTGGAAGTTGAGTATGAGATCCGGACTCACTCGCGAGTCTGAGCATGCAAACACCAGAAACTACCACCACGCACACGCAAATACATGAAATAATGATGATATAAAACACGAACCAAAATATACAGATAAAGAGGCGATTAATCAGTAAATATTAATTAATCACCTTGGGGCTTTGGCTTTTAGCAAGTTTGTCGAACAGGTCTGGGTTCTTGCTGCCATTTATAATTATATACATATAATGAAGTTATAAAAAAAAATCCAAATATTGCCGGCCATAAGAGAACTGAGAGGTTATATATAATTAATAATTTACTCGAATGTGTTGAATTTGAAGTCGCAAAAGCCGGATATGATCTTTTGAACGGCAGGATCATTTGGATGCAGATCATCATGTTTTCCCTCCAGCTCAGCTATCAGCTTTTTGATCTTTTCGGTGGCCTCATCCTTCAATTCTTCATTTCCTCTGCCACGTCCCAATCACAATTCCATGAATACATTATATATATCATGCATTTATTCAAATGTACGACGTCCATGTGTTTATATTAATTATTTTCACCTGAGAAGTTCCTTCAGCTCTTCCATAGCTAACTTGGGTGACTGCTTGGCCATAGTTCCAAACACTTGACAACTAGAAAAACAATTTGATTTAATTTAAGCATGCCTAATTAGAAACAAGTGGATGTAATATAGTATACAGCACGCACGAGAACTAATTTTTATGAAATTTTACCTGTCCAGAAACTCAAGTTCTGATTGTTTCCCGTGTTCAAAACTAGGAACGGGAACAAACTTTGTCAGTAGAAAATAAGGATCTGATTAATTTCATAAATTTCAGAAGCCGGTAAGCGCTATATATAGATCGATCGAGTACCCTATACATGCAACGAGATATATAATGAAGGAAATACTCACAGACACCAAGTTAATTAAACCAGATAGCTCGCTTCCACACATCATTGCCTGCATATGCATGTCCTATTTATAATCTAAGAGTTGACCCCCTTTTTTTTGCCAGACTTAAAATTTTTAATTTTAATGGAAAACTTATCCTTAATTTTAATTTAACAGATTCTCCACGAGGTATTCTCAAGTCCACTTGTATGATAAATATATGAAGTTCAGATAAGTCCATGGCATCTTTTCCCCCGTCTTCTTGTATTTTTTATTTCATATAATTAATAATTATATGTTACAAATTTCATTTGGTTTGAATATTTTAAGCCAAGACTTAAGTATTTTAAAAAGATAGACCTATTTTTTTAATAAGGTACGTTAGAATAGTTTGAATATACGAAACTATTCTTAAAATCTCACCTCATATTATACATGTTGTTTTATTGATCATTTCAACAATATAATTAAATTTCATAGTTTAAAACATGAACCAAGCAAGTAAAAAAAATGAAAATCATTTATTGTCAAAAACTCAGCAATATATATAATATAAAAAACATCCAAATACCTAAACTATCTTTTTTAAATGGTGGGATAAAGGACCAATAAGTAGCAGATTATTTTAAATGCTACAAATGTTGAATTAATTTCCAATGATAATATTATTAATTCGGTTTTAATCAAATTAAATGTATAGTACAAAATAACAAATTAAATAATCCACTCTCGATGGAACGCACATGCATGCATGCTATACTATCATAAAACATTTGAGTTAACTAAGGGTAATAAACTAATAATAACTGGACCGGGGGACGTATAAAGACTGACACGCAAACAACGTGCTCGTTTGCGATGAACGAGACAAAGAGTGGTCCGAAAAAAGACAGGCTAGTGGCTGCGATTGCGTCTTGTGATCGGGTTCAAAGGGATTTGATCTATTGAGGAGTTCAAATCTACTTTCTCATAGTTACACAATATGATATTAACAATTTTTAAAAAAAAAATTACATTCAAGTTTCACATAAAGACTACTTGTACCAAAAAATTATATAAATTTTATAAAATACTTTCAAGTTTTAAATATTATACATTAATAACTTGACTGAGGATATTTATAATTTATAAAGAAAAATAATAATTTATAACAATAAATTATAAATGACCATTATCCAACTGTCAATGCCCTTATTTAAGTTGTTAATATTCAAGATTTGAAATTTAAAAATATTTTGTGAAATTCATGAGACTTTTTGATAATAAAGTTCTTTTTATGGGATTTGAATGTAATTTTTTATTTTTTAATTTAATTGAACAATTGTAAAATATTTTTGTCATATAATATTTAAAAATGATCAAATCTCAATTCTTAAATTTTTGTAAGGGATAAAGGACCGCTATCATGGTAATAATTGTTTTGATTTTTTTAAAAAAAATATATATTAAAATTTTTAAATATTAATAAAATCTAATAACTATAATTAAAATATTTATTAAATAAGTAAACTCAGGCCTCATGCCAAATCTTAATTCTAATTAAAGAGACATGGGTAATGTGAAGTTTGTTCGATACCAAACATTTTGTGGGACAGCATATAATGATCTTTCAGTGTTAGGTAATGATTTTTTAAAATTAATTTTACCCTTTATTTTTAAAAATTCTATATATAATTCATCGGCCAACTAGATATTATCTTATACTAATTAATATTTAAAGTATTGTCTCTAGTACGATGCATGGCAAAGAATCTAATCACGATGCTGATTCTCCTTTCTTTCGAACGCGTGCATGTTTCATTGAAAAAACGTTGAATTCCACGAAATAAGAATTCGTGTAGAGTGGTTAGAGGGGAATTAAAAAACAAGAGAAAGATCATGCCTATCCATATAAATCTCATAACGCATAGGATCCAGCAACTTTCTCTTGAATTTTACCAGGATAAATTATTTTTTGTTGGATTAATTAATTAACTAGATTTTTCTCCTTATGCCCACGTGCGTTTTAAAATGTGTAAAAATGGTTTGTGTATGGTGGGGAAAAAAGGCATGGTCCTGTAAAAATGGTACTAAATGATGTATTCCGTGGAAGCCCGGAGAATATGATCAACAAATAACATGGCAAATTTGAAAGGCAACCTTTGGAGGTTTTAATGAAAGAGACGAAAGGCTCGATGATTCGAGGAATGTAATGAACTGCCTAGCTAGATGGGCTCATGCTCCTGATACCCATTTTGTTAACTTCATCAAAATATAAAATGAAAGGAGTGCCTAAGTCATTGTGGAGATGTTTTGGGCTGTACAATTGGAGAAAGTGGGCTCAAGTTCAATGTTGGAACCATCGCATGGTTAGCAAATGCCATCGTGTTTAACTTTGAAACCAACAAAGGTTGGTTCAAGTTGGTATAAATATGGCCTATAACTCATGAAGTTATGGACTTGTTGGTGACAATCTGTAAATATATTTGTAAGAGCTTCTTAAATTTAAAGGCATTAAATTATAGATTGGTCGGGTTTGGTGTTGACGGGGCATGTTCCAAAACCAAACAGTGTGTAATATCCCCCCCCCCCCCCCAACCAAAGACACGATTACAGGTTACACGCTGTAAATTAGATATTCTTTGGAATCTAGAAAAATCAATTGTATATTGTTTATCATTTAGGACCATTCTTCGCATAACGGGCAAGATTATGAATAGCCTATTTTATTGTCGATTTATATATATATATATATATATATATAACGTAATTACTGGTTAAATTAATTTGACTGTCAAGTCTAATTATTCATCGTAATAAAGGCTTAAAACCATTCATTCAGGACTCTCGAAAAACAATGTACTCCCTTCAATCTCTATTATGTGGCACTTTTTAGATGGAGTTTTTTAATTCTCAATATAAAATATATGGAGAGTTATTTGTTATTTTTTTTTAAATTTTGCTCATATCATAAATTTAATTTCATGGCTTGTTGTATACTCTGTGTGTATTTTTCTTATTTTTTATCAGGATAAAGTTATTTTTTTATTTATTTTAAGACACGTTTAATGAATTATATATTATTTATTAATTTTAGTGAAGTAATTGAAACTAACTTATAATAAGAATCAAAGATACTTCACACATATTTCTAGGATGAACTTTTTTTACAAGTCCATCAAGTAATAGGAAAGAAAGTTCATTTAGGAAATACTTATCTAACATTGTGTCAACCAATGTTAAGTTTTACAATACTCTCTCTTGATCTCAATTGAGGGTATTAGTGGTAATTTCATGGTAGCATGTCAGAACGAACTTTTGGCATGTGTCATTTCTCTATTTAATGTCCAATCGAGGTGATTTAAGCGCTCACATAAAGCTTATTCAATTATCTAACTAATGACACGGTTTTATTTCAAACTGATGTCTCCTTTAAAAGTTAGATATTTAAATGCAAAATGGTTACTCTTTCAAAAGTAAAATACAATCAAGTATCCTAAAACCAAACCATTTGCCATTAGCCTCGACTGAGGCTTGAATCACATTCAATGAATCGATAAGCACCTGATTTAATATATAATCAAGTAACAATGCAACCCACACAAGATTTGACTTGTAAAACCCCATTAACAAAAAAAGGGGCAATAGGCACATATTATCACTTGGCCATTTCCATACAAGCTAAATTTCATCTCACATACACTTGTACTAGTATTTTAACTCCACATCACTAATACATCTCAAAAATGCACAATCTAGGCCAACATACAACACATAACAACCATTAATGTCATGTAAGCGCATCCAAAAATTATATGCAATCCTAATTGACAATATAAATACATTTATACATTTATATATATATATATATATATATATACATATATTCATTTACACATTTATCTAAATTGGCAAGGCACTACAAAGCAGTAGGGTGACTACTCTTGTCCAGTTCCTCCCCCTTGCTTTTACCAGTACTATCATCTGTAAAATTGTAACCATGAGATGAAACAAAGTCTTAATAACTAAATAATCTAACATATCTACTAGCAAACTATACAATATATAAGCCTACAAAGTGGCGTAACTCAAATATGTAATTATGATACATTTAACATGTTAATATTCACAAGCGATAACTATGCATTATCATTAATCCATTCAAACCTTCACATCACCTTTGATAGAATTCATGGGCTACAATATCAACAAGATCAATCTCATATTACTAGACTGGTTCAAACTTATCAATTATGGGAGGTAATCCAGCTAAAGGTGTAATATTCCAAAATTTCACATTGATTTTTTCACAAAAATACAATTAAGTAATCAAACTTTAACCATTAAAACACTTACCATGATAAATATATTTCTACTATGGTACACAAGAGTAAAACTTGTTTTTCTAAAATGCTACTATAGTAAATAAGGCTTGCCATAATAAAAAAGACTTTGTATAGTATTTTAGAAATTTTACCATGATAGAAAAGGGACTACCATGATAATAAAGAATCAAAATTATTTTTACAAAAATTTACCATGGTATAAAGATATTTCCTTGTGTATATCAAGATATTTCTAAAATGGGATTACCATGGTAGAAAGGATTGAGTAACAATAAGTGAAGTTACTATAATACTTCAGAAGGTAAGTAATAACAAAAGGTTATATATATAATACAAGTTAATTAATTTATACCTAATGAGAGCCTTTAAAAATTAATAAAATGATAAAAAAGGGTATTTATGAGCGAAGCATGATTTCACAAGGGGTATAAGAGTTCAAAAGGACTATTTCAAAAGTAAAAAACTTAAGAGGGGTAATTCTGAAAAAAATTGTGCCATATCTAGCAGAGAGGGAAATCCTTTCTCTGTGATGTATGCTACAACATACGTAACATATGCCACAGCATATAGTGCCACATCAGAACAACGACAGCATAAATAATGAGAGCAAACTTCAAACAGGTATAACTTTTTTTTACAAATATTCAAATTAAGTGATTTAAATGTCCATCCGAATCTCATTAAAAGATCTAACTAATGAATCTGGTTTGGTATAAAAATTCTTCCAA